TGTGTGTGTGTGTGTGTGTGTGTGTGTGTGTGTGTGTGTGTGTGTGTACAGAGAACAGAGCAATCAAGCTCAAATCAGTGAGTTTGGACAGTTGAGTGGCAGATTTAATAAATCAGGCTACAAATATAACAAGACACTACAGTGAAACAGAAAACAGGACTCTTCTCTCCACCGCATTGACACATGACCTATGCATTAAGTATGCATTATTATCAAATGCAACAACAATTTCAAAAGCAGTTGTCGTCGATGAAAATCTTGGTTCTCAAGCCACCCTCCATTAAAGTGACAGTCTGTTGTTCTACTTCCTGGAGCAGCGAACTTGCCGAGGAACATGTGAGGAGTTGTTGCAGGACTGTAAAAATGACGCCGTGTCTGGCACAGTCTGTCTCCAAGAATAGAGACCCTATTAATGCCCCGCAAGTGGCTCCTCACACATGCAGGCACACAGAGAGCTGTTGGGAAGATATATTTGTCCTAACAATTTGAGGTAGCAGTCTGGCCCAAAGCTGCTCCATTCATCACCACCCCCCCCTCCTTATATTCCCAGGTACAATGAAATAAAGATGGCATGAAAGTGAAGAAACGGGAGGGAGAGATCAGCTGACGAGGAAGCTGGAGATATTACCCGATCAATCGATAGATTGATAAGAGGCAGAGGGAGAGTGAAAAGCAGACGGACAGAAGGACGACAGTTTGAAGAGAATGAGTAGCTGTTTGACAGGATGAATGGGAAATATACAGAGAGCGTGGAAGAGGTCAGGGATGACAGCACCGGGAATTCATCAGCTACCTCTCCCTCTCTCTCTTACTTCAACTCACCGCTGGGAAATACAAGAGATGTGACCTATTTAAAAGCAGCAGGTACACACACACACACATACATATATACACCCACACACACACATATATACACCCACACACACAGGTTGGCACCAAGGCATGATGGGGAAGGGGATTTTTCATCTCAGACTGGGCCATGCCAACACATTCCCCAGAGGAGACACGCCAGCGGTGGGTGGCGTTTCTATTTGCTGCCAGACTCCTCTCTGCCTGTGGAGATAATATACACACCCCAACCAGGTGCACGTCCTAAATCTAGTCTATGTGATGAATGGGTGTCGTTGCCGGGGTAATAGTGAAGTAAACTAGTCATCAATAAAAATAAAATATCATCCTGTGCGGAGTAGTAAGTCAGTAGTCAGAAAACTCTTATTTTACAGGTCTTTCCTCAGAGGTTGCCTGTATGTGTTCCTGTATTAATTACAGGGAAAATAGGGATTATGTTCTGTTATCTTATTAAGAGTAAGTGAGTTATGTTGGGTTTATACATAGTGGTTGATTTAAAAACTAATTCATTGGAATAGGAATTACAGGACTGCTTCACCCACAAAATGACTATTTGTATATAAAATATTCACCAGTGTTTAACCTTGAATTCTTTAAGAAAACTTATTTTTCCCGCATGCCTCTACGGTGAACGGAGACTCCGAAAAGGGAATAAATCGGAATAATTCCTTAATGAATGTAGGCCAAGTTTTTTAGGAGCGAAACTATATCAAAACATCAGTTTAGAAACATTCACACAACTCCTTCTGTAAAGTCCAGGTCTCTAATGTCCAGCGGTATTCTCACGACTTGCCATCCATACGTGTAGCATGAGATGGCAGTGGCAGAAGTTCTTTTAAATAGAGTTTTGGTAAGTGGTGAGCCTACCACTGAATAAACAAGACTTGGATTAGGCTGAGCGAGTTGTGTGAGAGTTTGTTTTAAATATAGTTTTGTTAAACGAGACACAAATTTACTTAAAAAGATTTTTCTGTTTTTGTATTCTCTGGTCACCGTGGAGAACTAAAGAATTCAAGGTAACATGCTGTGAGTAATTAATAAACAAATAGTAATATTAAGGGTGAAGTATTCCTTTAAGCGTGAGTGTGTTCGTTGACCGTTGTCTTAAAATTCCCCAAAATAAGTAGCAAATCAAATCTGCAGAAACCTAATAAAAAGTTACCAAAGTGGGTGTTACTCTATACCAGGGGTTAGGATCTACTGCACGTGTGAATGTGGATACTGCATGTCATATTTGTGGTGATTTGTTAGATGAGAAAATGTATTTGACTTCATGTAGGTGCAATGAACCCACCTGGATCTCTCTGGTCCCTGTAAACATCTCCTTCAAGCCATTGAACACCATACGCACCAAGTAATGGGATGCATCCCATACATGCTCCTGGAAATACAACACGTGATTAGGCTTGTGGATTTTTTTTTTTATTTTTTTTTTAACACAGTCACACACACACACAATATCTTTCTGCTCCACTGCATTTCTCATTAAAACAAACTATATATTGTGGGTTTCCCCCCCCCCCCACTTAGTTATAATTAGGGATTAAATGTAAAATGCAAATATAAGTGATAAAAGTTGCAGCACTGAATGAGCGTGGTATATTCCGCATATCATTACAGCGATATGATCTCATCCTTCCCCCTGTAATCACTCACAATTACACTTGCCCCTAATTCCCTGTTTAAACAATTAGGGACATTATGCAGAAGTCATTTAGCACAATCCTCCGGCTGTGAGCTGGTAGATACACTGACAGCGGGATCATGCCGATCCCATCTATACGGACAATGAGTTTAACTCCAACTATTGTAAGGAAGTATATAGCTATTTGACAGAGAATCAGCACTACAGAGCTGTAAGAAGATTAAATGCCTACATCCCCCTGCCACGGTGTCATATGACAGACTGGGTGGATCCATTTACGTGCAGCCGAATCGAAGTGCAATGGTTCCGAACTAAAAATAGATTCATAATGACTGTGATCAGGGTATCAAATATATCTGTTGTTGCATTACACTCCTGGCCTCCCTGATAGAACCATGCCATATCTTATTTCACTGCAATGAGATGATGCATAAATTAGCTCGACTAAAAGAAACTTTAAAAGCTTCTGCTCTGTGCGGCTCCCTATGAGACAGTGTGGTGGGACTCTTAATGGCAAGGTCAAAGCTACTGGAACCCCTTTGGGTGGACAAATTATACGCAGTCACTTTCGACTGTGTGATAAATGTCTTTGTGCACATGCAGGAGACAATGGAGCAACATTATCCGGGGAGCATTGACTTCAGTAGAGAAGATCTTGTACATCATTCCGAGTCGGTCTGGGCTCAGTGTGTGTTAGAATGTATAGCCTAAGAGGAAGACGTAAGGGGACACCTATACAGAGGAGCGCCTGTGCTAAAAGGCCACTCTACCGTACCACGCTGACACAACGCTAAAAATAAAAACGTACGCAGTGCGAGGAAAGCCCCCGATCCATCACAACTGCTGTACCTTTGGGAACTCATCAATCTCCTTCAGTCGTTTCTCTATCTGGAGGCGTCCCCCGTAGCGCGTGACCCCGTACACGACAGTCATCACGGTCTGTTTCACCACCTTCCTGCTGATGAAGCCCTCCAGGACCTGGGCGATCTTCAAACCGCTCTGTGCATCCCGCACTCGGAACTCCTCCACCTGAAAACGCACGGGCAAGTCATAGGTACACACAGATGTGTAATTTACACATATATATATACATATTACCTCTGTTCAAAACGCGTCTTTTGGAGGATACTTTAATGTTAATGCCCATAATGAGGGAAGAAGTGCTGACAAAGGTCCGTCACAGTAGTCGCAGACCGATTAAATCGGTTGCCTAAACAATCGAGCCAATTACATTTTGGGATAAGGCAGCCTTCAGCTGTGGAACAACGTTAGCCAACAGGAGGGAAGGCCACAAATCAAACATTGCTTATTTATTATTTTTATTCATGCAAGTTTGGAAATGTCCATTCTCTTTCAGAGACAGAGAGATGCTGCTATGCGCTGACAAATGCTGTTCTTGAGTCCACTAAAACTCTATTTTTCATTCATAAGTTAGTTTTTTTATTAACTGTGGGAATTTATCAAATTACAATTTGAATTAAAAATAAGTGCACTGTACTGAGTACTGATCTACTTATAAGGGATCAAGATCTAGATTGATAAATAGCACTAAAAGGTAAGAGGAAGAAATATGCATTTTTGATTTTTAGGTGTTTTTTAAAATTTGTATTAAAATGCTTTATCAGATCCCCCCCCCCCCCCAAAAAAAAGAAAAACATGATATCGGCATCAGCCATTGAAAAACCCACATGAGTCGGCCACTACATCGCAGTTTCGTGAAACCCAAGGTGAAGCCATCAAATGTCTATTTTTGTGTCCGACAGTCCAAAACATCAACACAAGAAAAGCAGTTTCTTTCTCACAGTTTAAAAGTTTGAGTCAGAAAATCTTCTGCAAGTTTTGCTTAAAAAGGACCAACAGTTGTCAACTCCATTTCTGTTGATCAACGAATGCAGTAAACAACTGATTGTTTTAGCTCTAGTAGATTTAACATAGTCTACATGACTGTCGCCACTGCTACTTATTGTACAGCTTACCTTTACGAGTTAACGAGGTTTATAGCTGGCGGTTTCACAGGCCAGATTTCATCATGGTAATTATTTTACAACTGTGAAGTACAACAATAAGATAGTGTCCTGCAGCGAACTGCTCTTTCAAAAGCTGGGTTCTTTTGATAGCATGGTATGCACACTTGCCTCAGGCCTTTGGATGTGCGAGTCTACTCTCACTGCACTTCGATACAAGGCATGGGAAACTTATAAATGCAAGACCTACAGTGAGAAACTTGAAATTCATTCTCAATGCTTAATCCGTCACTCACTATGGGACAAAAAAGCACTGGTGCTGACCTGCTGTGCTACTCCGCTGTACACATCCTGGGGCACGTCACAGGGCATGAGGTTGACTGATGTGGCACCAATAACATCTCTGCCTAGAGCAGCGTAGTGCTGGAGACCATTACAGGAGCCGTCCTGGAGGAGAGGTGGAGGGAAGGAGAGGAGAGATTAAAGCACGGGATGTGGAGGAGGAGAGAACAGAATTACAGGGACAGGCACCAAATGGGAGAGGGCAGCGCAGGGGTGGTGGGGCAAAACAAAGAACCGATGATTTAAAGAATGTGGAAGTGAAAGTACAAAGAAACTAGAGAGAGGGCAGAGGAAACAGAAGAAGTGCGTAAGAGCAATAAGAAAACATTATTGATTATTTCCATGTCCCACAGCCTAAAGTGAATTTTGAACTTAATGCTAGACTCTGAGCATCTGTAACTGGATCTGGCATCAGACAGAGGAAAGTCACAAGGGGTGTTCCTAATTAACTGATGATCAATTATTTGTCTTTCACACATTTAAAAATAAATTAAAAGTAATAGGTCATTGTCTTTGTATTGTATTTAACTGCATCTCGATCAAAAAAGGAACTGCTTTCAGCCGTCCATCAGACTGAGCAGTTTAAATGAGATTAGCTGGATCTGGGTACCGGCAGCGTCCCCGTGTTCAGCTCACAAGGCAGAATGAAAAAGCCGAATATAAATACTGCAGTGAAGTTGGCCACGTTCCTGCCAGCTGCAGACTTCATCTTTTTCATTTCATTTCCATCAAAAACGTGGCCTCTGACCCGAGTGTCTCTCTCTGCTCTTCTCTCTCTTTGCCTTCATGACCCTCGTGTTCGGGCTAAAGCTGCGGCATCTGCGTTGTGCGGAGGAGCAGCGGGCTGTCAGTGTGCTTAATGCTGTTCAATTAAAAGTTAAGTTTCTCCTTTTGGCTATTTAGATCCTTTTACTTTCTTTATTTATTCATTATTTCAGTATACATTAATTACCATACATTTGATGATATTGTGACTATTGTCTACAATCCTTGAGCAGGTTGAAGTTCAATGCTGCACTGAGTGAAAAGCTTGACACTACTGAAATTTCAAAACAGCTGCAAGGAGGAGGTGCTAAATACTGCTCAGCGGTAGAGCGGGTCCTTCAATCAAAAGGATCGGCAGTTCAATCAGTGTATGAAAGGGTGAATAACATGTAGGGTTAAAGTGCTTTGCGTGGTTGGAAGACTAGAAAAGCACTTTACAAGTACAAGTCCATTCACCATCCACACTTTGCATTGCAACTGCTGCATTTCCCTAGTTTTATCAATCATACATTTGTAGGAGATTCAACATGTGTTACAAATTGCTATTCAACTCCATAAATAGATAAATAATTGTGTTGTTTTGAATGGTACCTGGTGAACAGGATAATGCGAGATGAACTGTGTCGGATCGGGAGATCTCACGGCGTTGGCTATTTCCATGCTGCAGCCCAGAGCCTGCCAAGGCTCATCTGCATTCATCCACCACGTCTTACCCTGAGGAAGACAAACACAAGCACATGGAACATTATACTGCTGACATAAACACTTCCGGAACAGCTCACTATTCAGACTGACCGTCCCTGCAGTCAGAGAGAAAGGGGTAATGCTATAATCTGCATATTTCAGAAACTGTTAATAGTAGCCGTTTTTCTATTTCTGCTCATTTTAATGGTGTAAACCTCAAAACTGATACGTTTTAACAAGAAATGCTATGTGGAACTATGAATGTTTGGACGAAGCTTTCAATGAACAGGAAAGAGTAATAAGGACAAACTGACATTGAGTGGGTTGTCTGCCGAGTCCAATATGTCCTCCATGACAGAGTTAGCGTACTCCAGCCGTCCCTCCAGTGAGCTCCTCTTCTTCAGCCCTGTCAGATTGACTAAGTGGATCTTTAGCCAGTCCAGTCCCTTTGGACCGAGGGGCTTCCCCTCTGCAAACATAAGGACCGCCCGCGTGACATCACTTCCTAGGTGATTAAAGTACGGAGGACAGGGGTAGGTACGACCCCGGAAGTCCATGTTGTGAGGGAACCAGAAGATCTCATCCCGCATGTGGTTGGCGATGGAGAGTTTGTACAGAGCGTCCATGCGCAGGCTGTGCATCTCACTGCATTTCTTTTTGGCATTAATCACCTCCCTCTTCATGTGGGCTTTCTCAGAGGCCGTATAAGTGGGATCTTGGACGTTGAAGTGGGGTATTTTGGGGGCCTCTGACAGAGGAGGAGGGATGTCTAGCTTATCACTGCCCCGATCATTGAAGATGGAGATAATAATGTCCAACAAGGGTTTGTTGATACTCCAGGCACAGTTGCCCAGCTGGTTGAGGGAGTCCAGGACCGGGAGGAGGTTCTGGCATTTCTCCAACAACACCTCATGTTGCGTGGCCCCTTCCACTGTGCGCATCAGCTTGGCAGGTGTCAGCAGGTAGGCTCCAAACTTGACAGACGTCCAGGGCACCGGAGGGCACAGCATCGGGATCACAAAGGAGTCAAAGGTCAACTTGGTCTCCATGGCGTCCTGCTGCATCTGAGTGAGGATGGGGTGGGGTTTGATGAAGCCGACCTGGAGGGTGAAACATCAAAGGAAACCAATTAGAAGCAGAAATGAGCAGATACACAAAAAAAAAAAATCGTAATCGAACATGTGATTCATAGAAGTTTGAATCATAACTGACAAGAACAACAATGAACAACCTCTGCACCGAGTACAGACCCAAACAACCAGGATAAACATAAGTTAACAGTGATAATTCATCATTCATACAACTGGTCACCAGCTAATGTCAGAAAACAGACATCCACAAAGTACTTTAATACGAATGCACCAATTCGACTTTTTAAGTCCTGATACCGATACCTGGGCTTTGGGTTTCGGCCAATACCGAGTACCGATCTGAAACCAGTGTTTAATTAATGAGCTGTATGCCTCACTGTGTGCAAGTGACTGGGATCATTCTTTGATGTGGCATAGAAATGGCTTTCCTAACTTTGTAAAAACTAAATGTAACAAATAAATACATCAATATGAATTTACTGAATTATTTTTTTTTTTAAATTAAAATAATAAATCAAACACCAGCAACTTGGTAAAAAAAAATAAATCCACCAACAAATTGGTAAAATTCCATTCTAAAATGTAAATAGCATTTAAACATAGATATGAATTGAATAGATCGGCCCCATTGTCACGATACCCGATCAAGCTATTTGAGTCAGTATCCAAAAACCTCACCGCTAAACTGAATGGTCCCATTTTCATTTTATTAAAAGTGATCACTGAAATGTGGCTTACATACTGGAGCTCCCACATTGCAGGTGATCTAAAGGAACTTCTTTCTATAATGATGTAAACCCCTAGGTGATGTTTTTTTCTTTGATGTGACAGAATTATGTGTCCTAGTTCTAACTCGTACATACAACACGAAGGACCGGACATAAAGACCATCATAAGAACAAATACAGTAACCTGACAGAAAAATAAAAACACCTCAGCATTGCTTGCACGAGTCATGCTGTGCTGTAAAATCATTAGGATGCTCCCCTGATGGGCTAACCTCCGAAGAGAGAACGCAAGGGGAGGGGGAGAATACGAGGAAAGAAGAAAATTCCGCAACAGTGTCAAAGTGCATTTAGTCCAAAAAGTCTCTCTCTCTCTCTCACACTCACACACACACACACACACACACACACACACACACACACACACACACACACGGCCAGCTCACCCTCCTGCAGGGTCCCGTGGCAGTAAATCAACGAGCCAATTAAAGGGACACTAAAAAAGGGATTAGCCCGGAACCTATTCATCTTGCTCGACTGTTCCCTCTGCCACTTCACACAAGGGGGAAAATAGTTTTAGAATTCTTTGCAGCTTCACATGGATTGGCGGGTGCACAGGTGTACGAGGCAATAGGCTTTAGAGTGAAGGTCAAGTGTTTTCAGGTATTTCCTTAGTTTCGGCTTCACTGTGGTTCTTTCCATATTAATGAAAATGATAACTTCTGTGCAAAAACTGTAGCTGATTAACCTAAATCAGACTAATTGTGTGTCATTTTCAAAAGGTCATAATGAATATAATAGTTTGATTTAACTGAAGGAGGGTTCTCATAATGAACAGTTGTTGTATTTTTAATTCTTTTGAATATTTTCCTCAGGATTCAGGAGATCCCTTTAAATATAATCCTTGACCATTTTTCCACAAATCTGAGCTGAAAGGATCTTTTTTGGCTCTGGTTTAATGCTCCGTAATCCTGTTAGCAGGTTATGAAAGCCCTGTCTATTTGGCAGGAGTATAATCGCTACCGACGCCAGGGTTGCCGACTCCTTTGATATCCCTGTGAGCACTTGGAAAGACTTGCGCATCCACCGTACCTGTCGTGTGCTACGGAAGGTGTACATGTGGTACAGGATGGGGATGCGTTTCCTCTCGAAAGCCGGGTTCAGTATGTCGCTGTTGATTTTGAGGTTCTTGACCATCATGTCCACCATGTAGGTGCCCAGCTCCAGGGATACGATGTATGGCCAGTGGGTCTCTCCTCCCTGCAGCGAGGGTCCTGAACTCTGGTCCGCCTCAAGCTTACTCCACTGCTCGCTGGGCAGGATGTCATACTCCTAGAGGGAGAAAGATGGAAGCGGGTTGTTTTTCATTTAGTGAGGATGGAGTCATCGCTCATCCCAGTGAGCTGCAGTGTTTGGAAGGCATGTCGACATGTTTGAGAAGACCCAAGATCTTGGTTTTGATAGTCAGACCTAAAATAATTTGTCAAACAGGCACTATTTTTGTGATCTAATCAAAAGATAGCTTTCATGTTTCAAGAAATGATGAAAACTGTAAAAGCCTTGATGCATTAACATTTCAGCCAAAAACAAGAACACACAGCTGAGGAGCCTTCAAGAGCAAGATGATCCAAGAGGATAAAAACATGATTTGGTCCTCAGACAAGTAAGTAAGAAGTTGAGTGTTTGGTGTCATAACAACAACAACAAAAACACAATAATAGGCATAATTTGAACTACAAAGGCTGCATGCAAACAAACTAACCGTAACTAACTTCTGGTATAACTAGCTACTGGAGTGTAATGTTTTTTTCCCCCCAGTGCACCAGAACTATCAAAGCACTGGAACAGAACATGTGAGTCACGGATTGTGTTTTATGGAACTAGAGCTGAAGCAATGAACCACAAGGTCTTTCTGTTTGCACCTTTGCTTTTCGGTTTCTAGAGCAGTCTGTGTCCATCCCACAGATTAAAAACTACATACAAAGTATTTGTTTATATGCTTTGTGAAAAATAACTTAAACATAATTACTTCATTATGTATCACAAATTTAGGGCTACACCATTATGGCCAAAATGAGAATTCTGATTATTTTGATCAATATTGAGATCACGATTATTCATGGTAGCCCCGCCCTAAAGCATCCCCTGCTTTATCATCCATTTTATTCTAAACGGACCATCATTTACTAAATGAACATCATGCTGTATTGAAGAAGACTTGAAACTAGTGATTGAGACCATAAACTCATGTTTACTGAGGTAATAAATCAAGTGAGAAGTAGAGTCATTTTCTCATAGACTTCTATAAAATCTGAATTATTTTTGCAACCTGAGTCGCCCCCTGATGGCCATTAGAGAGAATGCAAGTTTAAAGCACTTTTGCAACAGCTTCATTTTCAGACACAGACATTACCGCCTGACTACCTCTTATAAATAAAATTGTACCAAAACGGTTTACCCAAAATATTTTTCTTCTGCTCTGGACTGCAGCTGCAACATTCATGAAAGTGTTTCAAAGGCTGCCGCTGTAGCGGTCATGTCGTGCAACACAAAAGTGAAGCCAAAACATCTCGATCGTCCCCCTGACAGCTGGCTGGTAGTTTGGGAAGCGCTAGATTTAATATGCATTTTAAATGTACATTTCACAGTAAATCTTGTTCATGGGGTGGGAAGCCGAAATCGTGACCAAGATTATTATTCGATTATTGTGCAGCCCAAAAAAAAAGAAATAAGTTTCCCTCTCACTTTTTGTTGTGACAAATATCTACTGTGATGCACCAAAGTGCATGCAAAATAGATCTTGCTCAGATAAACTAACAGGAGATACACTTTCTCTAACACACATCAGAAGTACATACAGGAGAAGACATGTGGAGCGAGATGATTTCTCTACCTTTGTGTCTTTAGCCAGCAGGTCTGTGTAAGCATTGTAAATGTTGCGCAACTTTTCCACCATCTGGTTTTGGTGCTTCTGCCGCACAGAGTACTTGGTGTAGACCCGGTTGCCCAGATCTCTGGCTAAAATCTTCAGCGACTCTCCACTGGGAGGCATGTTGGCAACGCTCTGAAGAGTAGGACACAGTTCACAACGTCAAACAGAAGGAAACATTTCGGAAAATTCTGTCACAAAAAGCAGATCTGATTCAGTTTTAATGAAAAAGCAGTCCATCAGTCAGAGGGGAAATCAAAGTGTAAATGGTCTTTTCAGAATTAAAAAAACACATGCTGTGCGCAAAAGGTATCTGATCAAAGCGTGCTATTCTTTGCTGCCAAAGATAAAGCCTGATGCTTTTGCAGCGGTGTGGAGAAAACAAAGGAGCGTAGCGGTGACATCGCGACAAATCTTTTCTATAACATTGTGGTAAAGTTAAGCCATCGTCCCTCAAATCACTTTGGCTCAAACACCGACAAGTCTTTGTTAAAGCCAAGACTTCTGGCTTCTCACTGAGTGGCAGGCTGGGTTGGGTGGTTTGTATTACCTGTATCATGATGTCAACATACTCTCTTTCCTCCAGCACACAGAGGTAGGGATAAAGGTTAAGCCGGTAGTCCTTGGTGTTGGTGTTGGCCAGGATCATCTTACTGTCCCTCAGGGCTTGGAGGAGGATCTTCTGCCACTGTGCCCGCTGATCCGCCAGCAGCTCCCTCTGAAAGGACAACACAACTGATCTCATGACGGTGACTGCCAGCAGGAAACCCTCAAAGGATGTGTCAAATAAAATGAACAATCCTGCACCGATGATTGTTTATCACATACTGTCTGAACCAAATGGAACATCATTTTAAAGTGTGAAGCGGGAGATGGGGCCACCTCTCACCGGACACAAGGTATTGTGAAGCATGAGCGTGCATTCTATTTGATGGTTAGGCTTGTTTGGAGGAGAAACCTCGAGGTGACGGGGAGAAAACAGACTATCCTTCTGAGAGAAACACTACTGGGCCACCGACTGATTCATCTAAGACTAGAACTGAAAGGAAAAATGTTCTTGGCCCATTATTCTAATGGGCCAAGAACATTTTTCCTTGGCCCTTCCTTGGCCCATTAGAATGGCTTGCAGCGATGTAATCAATTTAACAATGATACCATACATCCTCATAACATTGACGTTAAAGGAATTGTTTGACATCTTCGCTTTCTTGAGAAGATTGATGCTACGAGTATGAAGTTAGAGCCAGTTAGCTTAGCTTAGCACAAACACTGGTAAATAGCGTGCTTGGTTTTGCTTACCCACCCACCTAAAGCTCACTAATTAACATTGTATGTCTTGTTTGTTTAACCCGTACAACAAGCGAAATGTTAAAACGTTGTATTGGAGTTTTTGCAGGAGTTACATAAACAGAGTCAGGCAAACTGTTTCTCCCTGCTTCCAGTTTTTATGCTAAGCTAATCGCCTGCTGTCTGTAGCTTTATATTTAACACATAAAACAAGTGTATTTTCAAAAGGGTCAAAAATATTGTTGAATTTAATTTTGGGTGGTTTAGCGTTGCATAAAGAGTTAATGATTTAAATGTCTTATTTCAGGAAATCTTACCAAGAGAATTGTCCTATCAAATACATTTTTGTACTTTTTACAAGCATTATTTAATATTCTTGAAGTGCCCTTGTTTAAGTTTAGTGTTGATTGTTTCCTTTTTCATCTTAAACTAGACAGCCATCTAAACCCACACCGTTCTGTGCTCTCACATCGTGGTACATATTTTGATCTGATGCGATTTAAAAGTGGGAGAAGCTAGAATGAGCACTTGCTTCGGCATTATTACTTTTGGTGCACTTTAATCACATTTCAAGCTATGCTTCCTGATTTTCGTGATTGACATGAAACAATTGAATGAATAATACAAAATGAGATTCTGTAGATGGGTGAGCAGTTGTTTTGTTCATGTGCTTGTGGCTATACGTATGTTCTGTGCACGACTCTGTGAATGTATACTCTTCAGTCAGTCTGCATGGTGGATGGAGAGGCGACCCGGCGTTCTCTCCAGAGGCTTCCATTACAATACATTATTATTCTGCCCTGTCTGTCTGTAAATGCTTCCTGACCCCCAGGGACTCTCAGCCTGCTCGCTTCCTACGTAGCCCATCTGCAGGGGCAGACGAGCCAGTCTGGACTGTAAATGCCAGAGCTGGAAAAAAAGACGGCACACCACAGGAATGTTTCTTAATCCAACATGTCCCGCCTAAATGCATATTAGTTAAAAGTTGATATCAGAGGAAAAAGAGAAACTTCACTCATAGGAAACAAAAAGGTACCCATAGATATAATAAATACATACATGTCAACACATCATCACTGCGTAAACGGTGTTGTATTAGTTTGATCTTTTCAACTGCCAAGATAAACACACCCTCTACGTTTGTATTGTGAGCCAGAATGTTGGATTATGCAGGATTGTTCGCAGATAAAAGAGACAAAATTACAGCACAAATGGAGCTATGTTTTTTTTTTTTTATCAAACAGGAAGCAACAAGGTTCATGGGAAATGTTGTCTTATAATTTTAAAGACATTGCATCAGCAACAACATTTTTGTAGATATCTGACAATAATGGGTTGAAATACCAAATGTTGTATATCTAGTATATTTTGGGATTGAAGGTTTCGATATAGACCAAACCACCTGTTATTAACAACTCCATAACACACCATTTTTTTAAAGAATTTGTGGATTTTCAGCATCACAGCACTATAAATCCACATTTTTTAAGAATCGAGTGTATTGAGAGTGTGATGAAGATGAGGAGAGGCAACAGGTGGGTTTGTTTACCATTTTAGCCATGTGCTCAGTAACGGGCTTGGCAACCTCCACGGAGTCGATGGTGACAGTGCAGGCCTGCTCCATGCTGAGCTGGAGTCTGAAACGCTCCTGAAGCTCCTCCTGAGTGAAGTCCAGCTTGGGGTAGTGGTGGTCGGACCTCTAAAACACACACACACACACACACACACACACACACACACACACACACACACACACACACACACACACACACAAGTGAGAAAGACAGAACCTAAGAAATAATGATTGCTTCAACTGTATGACATTAAAAGGTCCAGTGTTGAGGATTTTCCAGCGGAGAGGTTTGCGATTGCAACCAACTTAACACCCCTCTGCTGTAGGAACATTGCGGTGCTACACGGCGGACTCTGTGAAGAGGAACCGCTCCATATCTAAATATGTAGGAATCATCTTAAGCTAACGAAAACACAACAATTATTCTTTTCCGGGGATTTTACACCAGTGAAAATGTAGTTATGAATATTATATTCCATTTCTGACAATAGTTCCCCCTGAATCCTGCACACTGGACCTTTCTTGCCTTGTCCTTCACCTCTCAAGACGGTGAGATTGACAGACAGACACCATCTTACTTTTAAACACCTCTAACCCACCAATCACTTATTGGCTGGAAGTCACTTGGAACACGACCGGGATGATAAACTTTGCCTGAGAGGATCAATTCAGGGCAAGAAGTAGAAAAGAGTCTTTTCAGGCCAGTGAGCGAAGGCCAAGTCATGAAACCATCTCAGTCTGCCGCCAAGAGAGCTTTAAACCCAGTTTCAAGCTTTGGCTCAGTATTGCTAGAGAGCAAACAAAGAGTTCATTGTTCTGAGTTTATTATTTTCAAGACTCGACTGGACATTTAATGGCAGCTTAGAGTGTTTGGATGGTGAATTTTGGAGTCCCCATTACATTTTATGAAATAACTCCATCAAACTCAGTGTTCTGCAAAAGCCAATATTGATCAGAAATAGGGCTGTAACGGTGTCATATGGACAGATGTACAGTATTTGTTCATTTTTAATAACCAAAAGGACATTATTTTTCGATTTAGTAGAGAATTAAAGATGTAAACTAGCATGCTTTAGTTACATATGATGTTATAATTCTATCCAATTTCTGTTATCAGGTTTTTATTATTATAATTCAGTTCTCAAATTCTTTAGGGGTAATTGTAACTGAAAATAATAACAATAGTAGTAGCTATTCTTTTCTCATTCTTTTAAGCATCATTGTCACTAATGATAAAAAGAAGAACAACTACAAGTACAACAACAACAACAATAATAATGCTCCTTAAAGTGGTTTGCACTGACACGGTGACCAACTACTGTCAGGAACAGACTGACTGTTGCCGAATTTCTTGCTAGAAGAAATAAAATGTGCTCTAAAAGTACATTGTTGTTTACAGAGGCAGTAAGACCATTATCTGTCCACATCGAAGAAAGGCTGTGGGCATGGAGTGGATGGAGTACACAACAGCAGTAAGAACAACATCAGACTGTAAATCAGGCCTCAGAGAGATGGAGCATGGCCAGCAGCCAGAGCAAAGCTTAAGGTAGCATCCCACACACAGCTCTTTGTACAATAACACAACTTCAGAACAATAGATTAGCTAAGAAGCTAACACCACATGATCAGTATACCAGGAGGAAATAGTGCTGGCACGATGGTTTTGAAGCTTCTGGTGTACAAAGAAAAGCAAAAAGCTCGACAGACTGCGCTGGAATTTTGTTAAAGCAAAGCTGTGCGATTTAATTTGAATACTTTGTAAAACTGAATGAACTCAAATGTCCAAACCTACAATGTTTTTCCTAATCCCTACTGAGTCCAGCCCACAACGCATCCACAATGCATGTAGGCCAGTCTCCAGATGAACATAACGATCAAATGATAGAATACCATTCAATCTCTGATGACAAGTTGAAACTAGATCAAACTGCATTTTGTACGAGCATCAGCTTAATCAAAATTCCATCTCACAACAACAAACAATATTCTAATTAGATTGTGTGTCTGCCGCTAACACCGATTCAAAATCCTCCCGAGACCATCCAGTCTGCTCCTCTGTTATCTAGTGGACCAGTTATTTGGACAGCCTTTCAGTCATTAAAACCAACCTGCCAGAAAGTCACAGTCACAGTCAGATAACCAGCCTTACAAATGCAATCGGAACTGGAAAGGAGCAGTCACATTTGACCTGTTTCACCACGTGGCGTAGCTTCACATACACTCCTAAGATAAAAATACATGACCTGCTGACTGCCGCCATCACACACGCAGGTCAATAACAAGCTACAGGAGACCAGAAATATGTCACTCAGATGACGACCAAAGTGAAAGCGGGGCACGGATTGAGGCAGAAAATACCGCAATTGAACAAAAAGCTGTTAATGAATCACGTGAGGATCATCAGTGGAAGGGAGGTGGGAAGAAAAAAAAAAAGAAAAAAAAAGGGAAAAAAAAGAAAAAGGATGAGAGGTGAGAGGAGGAAAGGCAAGGAAATCGGGGGACCCATTAGAAAGCAGAGTTGGATCACTATAAATAGGCCAGTGCCTGTCTGGCTGTGAAGGGGTGACAATCAAATCTTTCGTAGTCACGCTGGAGCCTTGACAGCTTTCCCAGCTCTCTGGTGCTTTGACACTCAAAACATACAGAATCAGCCTTGAAGAAATAACTTATTCTGTATTTATACTCATACATTAACACTCTTATAAATGCACATGCACTTCCTGAGTAAATTTAAGTCATTTCTATAATGCTTTTTGATTGAATATCCATTTCATATGCAATATACATGTCATGGCGTATACATCGCATCTTTTTAAAGTGACACACAATTGCTGATTACAACAAACATCTGCCATCCAAAGATTAGCATGAAGCAGTCACCGTTACATCCACTGAATCTACTGTAACGTTGAAGCATGACGACCAGCAGCCAACACTTGGACGTACACGACACTGGTTATGATGACTGAAGAGATTCAATCGTTTGTGTTTATCTTTAATATAATGATGGGCGCTAAAACTCTTGAATTTATGAATGCTTTATTTACCCTGATGATACTTGAATATATACAGTATATACCAATAAAGACCCATAATTCAACAACCTTCAATATTAATCATTCATGACTAAATGAGCAACAACCGAAATGAAAGTTTGAGGAAAAAAAACATTAAAAGTTATTATTTATTAAGAGTTTAACAACAACTGATCGGCCTCATACGGACTGTGTGTGTGTGTGTGTGTTTGGGGGGGTTTGATCAGATTTGATTGACATTACATTACATTACAGTCATTTAGCAGACGCTTTTATCCAAAGCGACTTACAATTCAGATTCTATCACATTTCTACACCGTAGGCACAGCTACGGGAGCAATTTTTGGGGTTAAGTGTCTTGCTCAAGGACACATCGACATGTGACTAGCAGAGCCGGAGCCGGGGATTGAACCGCCGGACCCTCTGACTGAAAGACGGCCCTGCCGTCTTTAAATCAGACGGATTGAGCGACACAGTCGCTACCCCAGACAGTAGTCCGACAACATGAGCAACCAAACCGCAGACAGATTTTGAAATCAAAAAAAATATTGATAAACTCTTTTTATATTTATTCAACTTTGATTTATTCAGGATAATCCCACCGAGATTTTGAATCGCTTTTACAACGGGGGTCCTGGTCTCTGAAATACGTGACTTAACCTGTTCTCTAACAGAACCCTGCCCATTTAAAGACAGTGAGAAAAGCATGGACAAAAAAAACTTTAAATAACCTTAACTGTTCAAACTTTGGGAGAAAATAATGTGTTCATTTAAGGAGCCATTACTCAAAGCCAAGAGTTATAATTGAAAAAATAGGCTGTCGGTGCCTGTAAGTAATGATATAGCAGTGTACGGTGTCAAAGTGAGCTTGCGATACCTGTGTGTAGAAGTCGTGGACCAGCGATGAGGAGCACTCTGTTGTGCTGGCGTTGAGGCTGGGCTGGTAGTCGGGCTGGACGATGTGCACGGCCTTCAGCACCATGTCTCTCTCATCCTGCCGGAACACACAGCGGCTGAACAGGTAGTCCACAGACAGGCCGTCCTCCTCCATCTGGCTCAGGCACCTGCACACACAGGGACATACAGTTGGTGTAGCAGGTTGTTATTGGCCCTCGAGCAGATTTGAGCCATGTTAAATCTGTGGGGACGCTCATCAGAACAACTGGCTGCTTATTTATTTTTGCCAGGTTTTGAGATTTTTGGCGGTTAAATCTCCACTATTAGAATTTCTTTGGAATAAAATCATGCCGTCCAGTTATTCCCCAAACACTCATATGAGATCTATGAGTAGGAATTGTACAATCAATAGAGAGAGTTAGGAATACAGACTAGACATCATCTGGTTAAAATGTAAGACACAGAACACCTAAAGAGTTTTATTCAACCAGATAAAATGCAGTGGTTATCTGGCCAAGAAGGCAGCAAAGTTTAGTGTCAAATGCACGTTGATGTCATACAATAAAACAAAACAATACATTACAGAGTAAAAACTAAAGTCTCCGCATCAACAGGAGAGGTTGAATAGACACAGATAGTGTATGACACTCTCGTCAAAATGACAACAAGACAAAAACACTGACTGATCCACTAAAATGTCTTTAGCCGATTAGTCATTTTTAAGCTTGGTCATGCTGCGTGACTTATTGCGATGAAAATTAGGAACACATCTCTAATAAACACAAGATTTTAAGTGGTGCTTTTGAGCGATTCATTATGGGGAAACTCAGTTTTACAGATCCGTCAGTTAGTCGACAAAAAAGTAGTGTTAGTGCAATGTAAGAAAGAATAAACAAACAAAATGACTACAGAATGTACTGATATAACAAAATATAACATGACGGGCTCCAAACAACAAACCTTTATACTTTGCTTTGTGATTTACTGGAAAATTTATATTTTCCCTTAAGGTCAAAATGTTTTCATGTAAAAATGCCATTGCTTGTTTTGTAAAAGCTGCTTGTGTTTTCCTTAAAACGCACGCGCGCACGCACGCACACGCGCACGCGCACGCACACACACACACACACACACACACACACACACACACACACACGCAGAAAGTTAGTTGCTCAGTGTGTTGGTTCAGATTCAGTGTTCAGACAGTTGACTCAGTAGATTTTCATTTGCGTGGGAGATCATGATGGAACAGACTCTGGAGTCTGATCACAAGTTCAGAGATCACGACCCTTTGACCTGCCTGTTGATGTGGGAATGGGACTGAGATAATCATTTTTCCCGGGCGCCTGATTAATTCAGCTTTTAAAAAAAACTCCCTCGTCTGTCGGATCATTGTATATGTCTCGCCGTCCCTAATCAACAGTTGCAGAATATCAATTGAAATATTTGCACTGACGGGGGCCTTTCTGTCAGAGGCAAAGCACGAGCTGGAGACAGGCAGACGGGCGCTGACGACATCAGTGAAATGTATATTTAAATATAATCTCCTAGAGAGAGCACAGTCTCCATGACTGGACTGCAGAATAAAGACAATAGCAATGTGCAACCAATCCCTGGAATCTAAATGAGAGGCGTAATAACATGATTATATTATAACTCAATTTGATATAGGACACCTCAGAAGGCCTGTGAGTTAATATGATCAGCCTTTATTCTTCTGTGAGATTCAGTGATTAATATTTTGCTTGTGTAAATGATTCATGAATTTGGGTAAATGATATTATTAAACTGTACATTGATAAATTGAGCTGATGCGATGTTTTATACAATGACTGAATGTCATCCATGTACTGAATGCTATTTGAATGACCTACAGTGTGCACTCCTCCTTATACATGTAATTACAGAAGGCTTATGTATACAGGGGGAGAACCTTGCTAGTGTCATGCACACTTTAGGGTATAAAGCCCAACGACGAGCCCGTAGATCATGTTTGGTTGCACTGCTCCCTTGAGGTTAACAACAGAACTACACGACTAAGCCGAGAGACGGAAACGAGGAAACCCCATTTGTCATCGACCACAGAGGACGAGAGAGCTCTGCTTCACCCTGCACTGCTTTTCCTAAAGACAAATAGAAATAACAGCACGCTAATTACCATCTGGAGGAAACCTTGGCTCAGCAAATTCCACCGTCTTAATATAACCAGAAGTGAGCGGGGTTCTGCACAGAAATTTAGAAATACAATTAAGAAAGCCTCGTATTACAATATTCTGTCGGACGTCTAGTGTTTGAAGTTACGAAGTGTATGTCATATTTCTGAGGTAAGCCAAAGAGGTCAAATTTCTTTAGTATTTGCACTCATGCCTCGGATTCTCGTGTGATGCAATGTGCAATTTTGGTCAGAGTAAATGAGAGAGCCTCCAACAAAGAGAGGATTAGTCTGGGTGCCGGCACTGTGGTCCAGAGGAACAAAGACAGCAGAGAGGTTGAAAGATAGGGCATAATCAGCCTGGTGGCTGCTCTGCTGCACCCTCGGGGGCAAAGCGGTCTAGAGGACACAGCACTTACAAAAGGGAAAAACTTAGAGGGATAAGGGTGCGCGTGAGTCACTGTGTGTGTGTGTGTGTGTGTGTGCGCGAGAGAGAGAGAGAGACAGAAGAGAGGGGAACAGATTGGTACATTGAGGGCGAGGATGCTGCAGGGGAGACTTCAGAGGAGAGAGTGATATTTGGAGAGAACAGCAGTTCGGCCATAATAAATAGGTATAAAACACAGTGAAGGAAAGAACAGGCAGACTACAAACACATTGAGTGACGGAGAGAAATGATGATGGTGAGGACTGCTCGGCCAGAGACTGAGCAGGAGGTGCTCCGCCGCAGAACAACGATGTCATACGAGCATCGGCTTACAGTGATCGATGGGTCCAACCAGACACCTACCCACAACCCCACTGGCCCGCTATTGGACCGCGCTGCATAGGGTGAGGTCTCCTGAGTCCAACATCATTTTGGCAAACTATTTGACGAGCAGCCATTGAAATGAACTACATGGATTTAGGTCTCGTTGCAAAGCAAAACACAACAGCACCACTGTGTGGCAGAAAATGAACAGATATAGAACATTACATCGTTGAACGCAATTATCTGAATGAAAATAAATCGTAAGTAATAATCAGGATTGTGACAGGCCCACAGAAGAGTGATAATATTTCATAATTTCACAGCAAACTCCTGTTGTAGGAGTGGGTTCTTTTGCACGATGTGAATAGAAGTGAAAGAAGCTGCGCTTCGATTCACAAGGTGCATTCTTCAGACTCAGACTGAAGGCTGAACTAGAGTTGCAAAAATTCCAGGGGAAATTCAAGATGGACTTAACGGGAGTTGGTGGTGAGTTAGCAAGCTAGCAATCCGTGCAGACAATGTGGGCTGTGTGCAAACTTTGGGTTGCACAGGTTGCCCCACCCACTTCCCCCAAATAAATTCACTAATTAAAAAAGGTACAATTTTTATTTTGAAATTACGCAAAATTCCTGACCTTAACTTTTCCAGAAATGTACGGACCCGTTGCAACTCTTGGCTGAACCTGCACTCCCTCTGTGATTGAAGGGGTCTTGTAAATAAATGTAGTTGTTTATGCTATAATAACTTCAGGTTAAGCCCCTACGAAAAAAAAAAAGAAAAGTCTATATGAGCTCTTCTACTGCCTGGGCAGCCGGCCAGCTGCTTGTATTGGCTGCCATCAAACAGGCTCACACACACTGTGACACATGTAGAGTTCTGCTGAAGCTGTGCCCAGTCGGTGGATACTGTATGTGCTAAATGTCATGTAATTAATCCGACTGTGGGTCAGTGACATAAAAACTTGATTAATAATACTTAACGGGGATTTGTCAGGATGACCTAGTTACCGCTGAGATGAAAAAAAGTTCACCTCAATGCATGACGGCAGCGTCCTGCTGTCTTTTAGCTATTTAATCAGCCTAAGACGACCTCATTAACACCGTGTGTCAGCATGCTGCCACAACCAAAACAAGTCTAGGTGGCCTTGGGAAAAACTCCAATAATTCGTTTTAGAAAACCTCAAAAATCGACAAAAGATTTAAGAAACAAAGCCTGTGATGCTGGGTTGCCATGGAAACAATATCAGAGATGAGGGAAAGGAACAGAAAATGAGGTTCAAAGTGTTATGAACACTTGATCCTATCAGCTTAACACAGAGGAGACACAGAACACTGGTACTGTGTGTGGCACTCAAAATAAAGCGTCTGAATTTATGATTGATACACAAGACGACTTGTATTGTTTTCAACGGAAGACGGAAGCTTTGACCATCGTTATTTGCTACACATTGCTTCTTCTCTGATGCCATTATTCTTAGATTAAAATGGTCATAAACAGTGACAATCATGTCTTCAATCATAAATAAATAGTATAGGCAAGAACTCAAGAAAGGATGTGCAAAAGTAAAAACTATGAGCACAGCATGACCCCTGCTGGTGAGCCTCTGTATTACAACTGCTCTCCTCTAAAACTCAAAATCTGTCCCATGGTAAATGTGCATTATTACAAACACAGCACATCATGAGTCTTGTTCATAGGTGGTGGTGTTGTGTGTGTGTGTGTGTGTGTGTGTGTGTGTGTGTGTGTGTATACCTTGTGATGACCTTTGGGGAGCAGTTGGGATTGCGGCCCATACACTCCAGGGCAGTACAGTAGGATCCCAGATTTGGCTTCAGACCAGCCTCTTCTAACAGGATAAATATGCGACCAATCTGATTTAACATGCCCTACAAACAGAGAGAGAGAGAGAGAGAGATGCATGGGAGGACCACTAATCTTTGCATGTGAAAATTAAACTCAAGTTACTGACAAAAGATGAGAATTCATAATGTTGTTAACTTATGAAATACAACAGAAAGAATGGCAACTACTAGAGAACCTGAGAAGTATTCACAAGTAAGTACACGTGTACCATCATGACTTATAAACAGTGACAATGCAAGATTTACTAGGCTGTTAATAAATCTGAGTGTTTTAATTGGTTTACCACCACACAAAAATAAACCCAGCAGACAAGAGGGGTAGCTAAACAAATGCTAGTTTCAATCCACTTTTAAAACATGGTGTCTTGGTTGCTGAACTCACCTTCTTGGCCCACACCCTCATCATGATGTTGTAGACATCCGTATTCAGGTGTTTACGTCGACTCATAACTCTGTGCTGGCTGAGCAGGAACCGGTGCGCCCTCTCAACGGCCCCGGAGAACACACTCGCCTCCAGGTAGGAGCGGATGCTCAGCTGGATGTCCCCGCATGCAGTGGCCTCACTGTCGTCCTGTAGGCGCTGCGAGCTATTCGGCGACGTCCACTGGCTTACCTGTTGACTGAGCCTCCTCTCCAGCTCCTCCACCTGGGCCAGCTCCTCGGCGCTGCACTGGGCGTCAGTGACAGTCTGCTTCCGGCCCCCTTTACCAGGAACCGGATTTTTAGAGCCCTTCTGTTTCTTTTTAGATTCTTTATGTGCCATGCCGGCTGTCCCCGCTGCTGCTGGTGCTGCTGCTGCTGCTGCAGCCGGGACAGCCGCCTCTGTTGAAGGAACTGCAGCACGAATCTCATCAGACAATTTCATGCGACGACTGTTCTTAATCAAGGGCGCGGTTTTAGATATAGTTTTGTGTGAAGTACCGGGGAGCGTGGAGCTGCTTTTGCTTCCTTTAGATTTGGCGGCAGGTTTCTCCTTTACATTCTTCTGTATTTTCTGTTGGAGGTGCTGCTGCTTTGTGAGTTTGTTTTTCTTCTCCTGAGTTAATTTTTCCATCCAGCGGCTGGGCTGAGATTTAGAAGCTGCTTTAAGAGTCTTTCTGGATTTAGGAATGTCACTTTTCTCCTTAGGTGCACCTTTGAGACCCTTACCAGATAAAACGGCTTTAACAAAATGCACCTTTGCATGGTGGACATCTAAAACGATGTCAGATTGGAGTTGCTGGATCCTGGCCTCAAGCACTAAGAGAGAAAAATACAAAAGGCAAATTTAATGTGAGTAAACTAAATGATTGACCCGCCTGTTTAGTGATAGACACAAATAACTACCAAGTACTCTAGCAGACAGGAGTCCTGGACGAAATAGGACACAGATGAAGTTTGGGCTGGAAGTATTCAGCATTAAATTGCAAATATTGATAATTAAAGTTACTATTGGGGGTTTGAGATGTGTCAGCATGACAACTTGCCGTCTACAACAACATACCGTCGAACAACTGAGACTGCTCCAGTACACGTTTCTTAGTATCGTCTCTCTTTGGGATCACAAATGAAACATTTCTCCTTTGAAGCAGCAAGGGTGTCTCTGAAAATAAAAACACATACCATTAGAGTTAATAATAAATACATGTTGCAAGACAGTTGCAACAACTACATATTATAATAGTGATAGGGCGTTCTGCTTTCTGCCAATAAACAATTACTTCTAAGGTAATTTTGCCACATTTTCCCTCCACACACGATGAGCAGTTGGGGGTTCAGAGTCCCGCTCAGGGACACAGGAAGAGCTGGGTATCGAACCCCAAACCTTTGGGATCTGACCCGCTCCTCCACATGAGCTACAGCCACCAGGTATAGTAGAAGTATAGGAGTATAGGAGTGGCGGCTCAGCAGGTTTTCACAAAGAGGTCCTTGCAATATTGGTGATATTTATATCATCTGAATTTACTTCAATGACCGAAGAAGAATAAACCGTTAACTGCCACGCTCGTGACCACAAATCATCCTCAATAACAAACCGTTTTAACAAACGGTTACATGCGCTGTATGCTCGTCAAACATCACACGAGCTATTCGAGAAACCCCGGATGAGATAAACATACAATTACATTCATATATATATATATATATCACAGGAGTCCTCGGACCACTGGGCAAACTTGTCCATCATACTTGTAACTGCACACAGGAGACTCCTTCGGCTCACCTGATATTCGTCTGACCCCGCCGTCTCTTATCGACACGCACAGATCACAGCGGTCCGCTAGAGACACGCGAACAGGACACTTCTCAAATAAACTGCGACGACTCAGACATTTTGCAAAGGCACATACTCTAAGGAGTGACATGTTGACATGTAACAACCGCGTTACTCCTGAGCTCTAGGCAGCCATCTTAAATGAGACCAAGCTAGTCGCGAGGAGCGATGATCGTGGGTTAAGGCATGGCTAGAGGATCGCAGATAAATCGAGCAGCGATACGTTTTTAAATTGCTCTGTATCTTGACAGGAATTTTGATGTAACGATGGCTAATCATTTATTTGAATGTTAATTGAGGTGTAATGTTATCAGGTCAGCCGGAGTTTTTGCAAAGGTGTTTGATTATCGTCATGATCTCATGTTGACGTACTTTGTGTACTTTTGTTAAAGCCATGTTCGATTATCAGGTGTGGGCCATGAAACATTACAAATTATCAGTTGAATATTAATGTAACCTAATGTTACACACTAATACTAAACATGCTTTTTAGAAATAAGGCTCAGTTTAAACAAACTTTCCATCTGTTACAATTACATGGATACAAAATAATACAAAATATTATACAAAATAAATACGTTTATTATTTCAAATACATTTTAGAAAATAAATAAACCAGGACATAATTAGATGTATTTAAAGGGCTAGCAGTGATTACAAAAAGTTTTAGTTACCGCCCACATTATGTTAAATTTACTTCATGTATTTTCTCTCTTTCTATATTTAATAGGCAGAACTGCACTTGTTTTTTGCTAATTATTTCCTTCTATTTTCTTCGCTGTCTTTTTTGTAACTAAAATGAACTGCCATAAACATCAGAGCATGGACAGTGAATTATTGTTTGGCCTACAGGTGGCAGTCTCATCAAAGTCAATCAAAGTAGGACTAGAGGTCAAACAGGAGACCAAGGTGAAAACCAGTGTCCTGCAATGATACAAGCAACATTTGTATTCACATACGTGTTATTTTACACCCCCATTTAAATATAGGATTCTCTGAGATGTTTTGGTAATGCAACTTTACCATCATTGGTACAGTATATAGTTTAGTCTAGAACAGTAAAGTTATGATCATGTGTACTGGTTAGTTAAACATGGAAATAAGTTTAAATTAAGAGCCCATCACACAAAATATGTTTTCTTGAGTATAAATATTGAATATGCAGCAGACAAAGTGATGTATTTTATTTTTATCTATTTATTTACTTACCAGGGACAGTGCACATTAATAAATACATCAGCTTCTACCTGTATGTAAATGTGCCAGCGTTAGCTAGAGCGCTACTTTTTATCTGTAGTCCCTGGGCAGGTTATTACAAATTAGTTACCTGATGTTTTATTACAAAGCTGTAACAAGTGCTGCAGTGCAACACAATAAAATACATAAATGCATTACAAAAGTTGCAGGTATGTAAAAACAGGTATGTGCCAGAGGTGATGTGGTGAGACTAGTCGTGACTGCAGGTTTAGTTTGCTTTAAGCCATCTCTGATGTTTATGTTTAAAGGTTTGGTCATTTGTGATCCCTCTTAATTCAACAGGAAGATTGCTCCAGAAGTGATTGGCTCTGACTGAGAGGACCGTTTGCCCATAATTGCTACGTCTGTATTGTACAACACGGTCCCCTGTGACCTTCAACATGAATGATAAAGTTATGGGAAATTCACATTTTTCTTTGTAAACACAGAAACTGCCAGTAAAACACAGCAAAAAAACCTGTAAGATAGAAGTGTGTAGTTGTCTCATGACTTGTACTGGTACAGCTACTGTGTCAATTAAAATAGACTTCACAATTGAGGAAAAATACTGCGTATGTGGTTACATTTATTTCCATGAATGTAATATGATACTGGTAGTACACACATGCAACATGCACGCACGCTGACTTTACCAACGTACTTATTAAAGCCAATTTAAAATGATTGTCTTCTTCTTCTTTTGGACTTTTGAAGTTTGAACGTCACAGAGTTTAAATCAAGCGTGACTCAGCTCCAAGTTGAAAGCAAAACTGAATGTATCTCATTCACATCCTGTACACTTTCTGACCC